TCGGGCCCCCCGGGATCCCCGTCGTTTCGTACTTTCGGAGGTAGCGGGGCTATACGTCAGCTCCCGTACTCGTGCCCATTCGAAGGCTCGGGCGGCCCTTCAAAAATCGGCCTGTTCCCTGATGCGCCTTCACCACATCTCGTTGGCGCCAACCGATTGGTCCGCGTATCGCAACGCTGCTGAGGAAGACGGACGCGTCTTCCCGTCAGCCGCGTTCGCCCCCGGTCTGTCCCGGAGCGACTTTCCCGAGCTTCCCGCGGTTATAGGGGAGGCACTCCCGTCGTTAGGGGTGCATCCGTTACTCCCCTACACTCTGAGACACTTTGGCTTCGCTTGTAATGACCCGGTACACCCGGCTTACGCGGAGCTGGTCTACAATTTCGAGTGCGAATGGGCGTGGTCCCTATGCGCCGCCTTCATGGACGACGTGTCATTGCATGGTAGGGCTTTCGTACAGCCCGTTGGCATGCTGTCCTTCCTTGGCCGGGTCGCGCCGTCGCTTCCCGACCTGACCTTGCACCCCATGGAGCGCGGCTCCCCGCACGTCCCATGGTCCTACTCCATGGTTCTCGATCTTATGCACCGCGCCGTGGCGGTGCCCGAGCGCAATCGGCGTTCTTGGACCGATTACACAACCAGCACCCGGAGCCTCTACATGATCTACGATTGGAAAGGGGATGCTTTCGTAGCGCGTCCCAGTCCGCTCGGGTCGGCTCCTTCCCGGAGTAAGGGAGGCGTGGGGTCCGTTGCCCGAGCCGCGCGCCGGAAGAGGTACCGCGATTTGGATGGCGAAGCTCCGTCTGTCGCCTTCCGAGATGCACGTTCCCCACGCATTCCCTTCTTCCCTTCGGGGGAGGGGTACAGTGCCGCGGTAGACGCTCCGTCGGTTCTCTCGCCCCCTCTTGGGGCCGACTCATGTCGTGACGTGAGTCCCAAGACCACGTGCAGCCTTGATCTGAGTCACGACGAGATCATTGCTATCCCAGGGGTGGTCCGCGCTCTGGGCCGTTCGGTCGGCCGAGTTTGGCAAGTTGGAGGTCTGCTCCGGACACTGGCCGGTTGGTACATAGAGCGGAGTGACGAGGCTCGTCGCCTCGGTGCACAACTCCGCCATGCCCAGGGGGAAATCGAGACCCTTCGTGAATCGGCGTCGTGCCAGAGCAGCATGCTACAGCAGTTATCGGCCGAGCGCGATCGATATCGCCTGGAGCGAGACGACCTTCGGGCTTCCCCTACATACGTGCCTCTCCCTCAACTTCGGGACCCCTATGAGAGACGTGCGCACGACTCCTCGGTGGTTGGCGGACCAGCCGTCCCGCCCAAGTCGCGTCCGGGGTGGTCCTCCCACCCGGAGATAGCGCTTCCGCCCCTCCACGAGGTGGAGTCGGACGTGCCGTCGCACCCCAGCTACCGCCCCCCGGAAAGGCGTGCCTCCGGGTCGTCGGTGCCCTCCAACGGTGCGAACCGTTGAGCAGGCCAGCGTAGCGACCGGCCCTCGACATCCCTAGTCCTTTCCTTTCCCGTAAAGCCCCTAAGGCAATTCCTCGCGAGTCTTTCTCCTACGCCCGCGGCAGTCGCCTCATTGGCGGCGCCGTCCGCCAGCGGGCGAGTGCGCGGGGACGCGAAGTCCGTATTCTATCTGGCGTCCCTCGCCTTCGGGACGAGGGCGCTCCGGACCCTGTGCCTCGGTTCGAGTGACGTCGCTCCTCTACGGGAGAGCCGCGCTTCGGCTAAAATTAACGAGCTCCCATTGGCTGAAACACTCCCGACTCTCCCGCCTGGCTTGAGGGGCGTGTGGGGCGAGCTCGTTCCTCTTGTCGTCTCCCCCCCTTACGGGGGACCTACCGTATGATGCGAGGTACGGTTGCATTGACGAGTTGCTCTACTACGTCCGTCACTATCCCCTCGTACCTGGTCCACAGCGCACAGAAACTTCTGTACTCTTTTTCTGTCTCAGTCCGCCCTTCGGCTTTCTGAGTTTCGATAACTCCCGCTAGGGCGATTGTCCTCGCCCCTCCGCGTTTCCCGACCGCGGGGAGGCATCGAATGAGCTCCCTTCGCTGTGGGGCCGCCGACCCGGTTCTATTCTTCGCGTGCAGAGGGCGACCTGCGCCGGGGAGTCGTCCCTGGGGCAGCTGTTCGGGCCGTGGGTCTCTGCCCGCGTTCCTTCCTTACTATCATAATTACTCCCGACGTTCCCTCCCGTGCCTGAGCGGGGCGACTCGAAAGTCGCCGTTCGAGCCGGCAGTAGTTCCCCGGTGCTCCCTTCTCCGTGCGTCCTTACAGGGCGCTCTGTGGGGGACTCAGCACTGCGAGGGAGGTTCGTCATACTGAGTACCAACCTCCGTTCCTCTTCGAATTTCGTTGGACCAGGCGTGTCGCACACTGTCCTTCGCATCCTCCGCTCACGTGCCAAACATGCGACTGTTAGGGTCGGGGACACTCCCGTATCAGCATCAAAACTCACCATTGCTACCCTCTCGCCGAATCTAATTCGCGAGCTTCCAGCAAGCGCATGTGGCATGTTGGCGGATAGCGGGATCATTTGTCCCTCCTCAATAATTTCCGTCAAACCTTTGCCTAGTTTCCAAAGCCCAGTGGTTGTCTGCCCTGCTAGAATCCCTCAATCAGCCCATACGCTTCGTAGGACACTGTGGGTTCTGCGGTAGACAGCGTAAGCGCACCTTTTGCTCTCCTCTAGGCCAGGAGTTGAGCAAACGTCCCGATGTTGCACTGATAATGTACTTCGAAGGCCACTTACGAAACGTTTGAGTTCGGAGCACAAGCTCTGGTGTTGACGCCCCGAAAAGCGCGCGTGGTCCCTTCTTTAGTGACGCGGTAGACATCACAAGAGGGGGTGCGTCGCGGCTATGAGGCAACGAAAATAAGAAAGCAGCCGTCTTGTCCGACCCTGATCGAGCCATCGCATCAAATCATCTCCGGCGAGTTCGTTGGGCTTTTCCCTAGGGAGGCGTTGGAGACGGGCACTCTGTCGCCTTCTTTGCTTGGCAGAGGGCCATGCATATTCCCCTAGCCTCGTGTGAGCCTGGGCGTGGGTTGTGTGTTTCATCAATCTTCGACTTGTCTCCCGGGGGGGCTTGCTCAGACGGTGCTCCCGCCCCTCTTGGTCGTCGCGTACGCGGGCGGGCGGTGCGCAGGATTTCTCGCGGCGGCCATGGTCGGCGGTGGCGAACGATCTTCTCTTGGTCCCTGCCGCGCGCACAGAACAAGATGTCAGATTCAGTGCCGTGGAAGGGAAAAGGGGGTGTGTAGGCGTCGTGTTTGGCTCGCGTGCGTAGCGACCGCGTGTTGCGTTCTCGAATACGCGTTCGTGTTGTGTGATTCGCATTCATACGGCGTCCCCATGATGCCGCGGTCGGGGAGGGGGTGCTGGCGTCTGCAGCCTGCGGACCGTGGTAGCCTGAGCTACCTCCTCCTGATTGCGTGGCCACTTGACGGCGCTTGACGGGGGCGCGCTCTGCATGCCCCTCGGTGGACCTCGTCATCCGAACCGAAATTGTCCATTGTCTCCTGAACTGTGGCGGCGGCGTCGGCGCCAACACCGCGTTCTACGTCCCCACCTCGGTCTCCCTCAGTGAGCCCTTTCCTTCCGCGCGTTATTCGTTCGGCGCGTTGGGCTTCTCCTGGGGGAGGGTCGCCCTTAGTCAGCCCCGGCCCGCGCTTCCTGTAGTCGTTTTCGGGCGATCATCTGTTGCGCGGCATGCGTTCTGCAGTCGACGTAGCTCGCAGGGCGCACATAAATTATAATGGAGTGGTCAGTAGCGGAGGCTGTCGTGGTATCGCGTCCTTCTGAGCCCCTCACCTTGGGCGGCGGGGGCGCGTAAGCGCGCAGGTGGCTCGCGTTCTTCTTCCCTTCGTCCGTGGCCGTCCGGTCCGAGTGTGTAGGTGGATAGAGGGAGACTGCCGCTTGGGCGGCGTGCCGTGGGTCGGGATTTCGAGGAATCCGCTCGGTGCGGGCATACGATTCCGTCACCCGCCCGCCTCCCTTTCCGGTCGGGGGGGACGGGCGGACGTGCGTACACTCACGCGCTCATTCGTTGTACCCTCGGGCAGCGCCGTCTGGGTTTGCTCTTGCTTGTCGCCCGGCGTACAGTACCCCCATACGCCATGCGCGTGCGGGTGTAATTGCCCCGTTAATTTTTTTCGTTATTTTCAGGGGGTGGTGGCGGGGTGATTTGGTGATGACGCAACCGGTGTTGGAGCATGGCGCGCACTCGCTCACGTGCCGCGTTCTCATCCCCCGTAATTTTCCCTATTATGGGGCATGTGTCGGCGGCGGTTTTGGGGTGTCTCGCGTCTGTGCGTATATACTGGTGCTCCTCAGGCTGAGTTGCTTTCGCTTACCCCTCCTTCCATAACTATCCTCGCTACTGCTGTGGCGAATGCAGCCTCGCTCGTCTGTGCATCTGCCGACGCGTGTTGCGCGCTTCCTCGCGCACGACCCACACCGGGAGGGTCATGATCCGGTCTTCTGCCGGGCTCTCCGACGCGGGTGCTGATGGAAAGCTCGACGTGAGCCTCCCCCTTCTCGGTTATACCGAGACCGAAGCGACGGGCATTCTTGGTCGCTTACTCTGCCCACCGAGGGCTCTCGTGATCCCACTGTTGATCTCCTTGTTCGTCGGGCGCCCCTCCTCGCCGTGGTTGCTGGACTTAACGGATCGTCCGGCAATCCTGTTCGGGGGGGGTCGTCCGACTTTTCCGATCCGAACCGGGTTTCGCGGTCCTCGTAATGTCGGTCATTACGAGGGCCCAACATTTTTTCAGGCAGTTCGTACTGTCCTGTTCTTATGTCTCGCGTCCTTGACGTCCGAGAAGTCAAGACGACTTGACTTGAACGCGTCCCCGGTTGTGACCCTCCGATAGGGTCTGCCGACCTCCTTCGCTTCCCGTTTTAGTCTGTTCGTGCAGGCTGGGGTTAATCCGCGAAGGAGCGGTTGAGGGCCCCCCCCTTAAGCGTGAACGTCCGCGTTCACGGTTTAGGTGAGGTCTCTGCCGGTACGTCTCCGGAGGCGTTGGGCGTAACGAGACACCAACTCCTCCGGGACGTGAGTCCGCGCAGTCCAAGTGGGCGCGTCGTAATCCGCCCACTTGATGAGGAACTCCGTGGTTCCATCTTCCATAACCCGATGTCTCAGTAGCCGTTCGACGGCATACTGCGTTCCCGCGGTGACCTTATCGGCGAGGTCCCGCGGGGTCGTCGTACTTGCTCGTGGCGCGTCTATCGGAGGCGGCGCGTACACGCAGCGGTCGGCGGAGACTCGCTCGGTGACCCCATCACGATCGATCGTGATGATTCGGCGGTCATTGGCGAGCACGCGGTAGGGTCCGACAGCGGGCGAGGCGAGCTTGTTCGATGTCTTAGCCCCATCGGTGGGGTTGAGATATACGTATTCTCCGGGACGGAGCCGGGAATTAATACGTCGTATGCGCTTATCGAAGTCGCGCTTGTAGCGAGCCTGCGTCCGACGCAGGCTCCCGTAGGCCTTCTGGATAGTCGAATCCAAGGTCTTGAGGAACTCGGCACGTTGGTTCCCCCTATTGGAAGGGGGCGCGTCGCCGTCCGCCCGTCGGAGAGAGAACTCCGGCGGTGGCCTGCTGAGCACGAGCTCAAACGGCGTGGTGCGTGTGGTGCGATGTACGTGGGAGTTGTACGCATACGTAAGCGGCCCCACGTACACATCCCAGTCGTCCTGGTGTTCACCCACGTAGTTCCGCAGCATCGAGGCGATTGTTCGGTTATAACGCTCGACCTGCCCGTTCGTCTGGGGATGGTACGCCGAAGTGTACAAATTCGTTATCCCTAGAACGCGGCACGTGCTGTGGAAGAACTTGGCATTAAACTGAGGGCCGTTGTCCGAAAGCAACGTGCGAGGGACGCCATACTTGAACACCCACGAGTCGCAGAACGCAACTGCGACCGTGTGCGCTGTTATCGTGCGGAGCGCAACGACTTGCGTTAGCTTACTGAAGCGGTCCGTAATCACGAGCAGGAACCATTTTCCTGTCTTCGTCTTGGGGAGCGGCCCCAAGATGTCGATCGCGAGGCTCTCGAGGGGCCTCGTAGCTGGAAACAATCTCAATCGGTTGAGATGTTTCCTCAGCTTCACCCGGTTCATCGCGCAGGTTCGACACCCTCGCACCGTGGCTGCTACGTCTGCAGCCAGGTGGGGCCAGTAGTACTCGCGTCGAAGTGCGTAGTACATACGGTTCTGGCCCGGGTGCCCCGCGATGGCCGGGTTGTGGCACAGGCGAAGGAGCCTGGCGCGAAGCGTCCGAGGTACCACCACCTGTACGATATCAGGGTCGAAGGGGTGTCTCCGCTTGAGCACTCCTTGGTGGTCCTCGAAGAACGCGGAGTCCCGGGACTCTGACTGTCGTGCCAAAACAGTTTGGCAGAAGTCATCCACGCGTTGCTCCTCGGCTATCTCCTCTATCGTAAGAGGGGCCGGAAGGTCGTCCTGCGGTGGGGCGACCGGGGAATCGAGCGCGCCGGCCTCGGGGTCTTCGGCGCGCTGGATGTCGGCGGCGTCGAACTCGTCGTTCTCCTCCCAAAACGAATTGGGTCCTTGGAGAGCGGGGTCTTCGTCGTCACCTCGCGGTTCGTCGCGCGTCCGTGCGCGCGACCTTGTTCGGGCTTCGGCTTGATTCCGTGTCGTTACGAAGACATGGACGGCCGGATGATCACAGCTCGCGGTACAAGCGTGGTCCGCGAGCTCGTTCGATACGTCTCGAACTGTCGTGCCCCCGTCGAAAGTGGGGATGTCGTCATCCACCTCGACGGTGGAGCGAAGGTCATCGGCGACCTTCGGCGACACGAGTCGTGACAGGGCATCGGGCATCTGATGCACGCGTCCGGGGCGGTACTGAATGGTG